CGCCGCCCCCGCCGACCCTCCTCGCGCCTCTCCGTCCCCACAGGTGGCTGCAGCCCCGGCTGTGGCTGGGGCTCCCCGCCCCGCTGCAGGCCCGCGGCAAGGCGCGCGGGAACGAGTACCAGCCCAGCAATATTAAGCGCAAGCGCAAGCACGGCTGGGTGCGGCGGCTGAGCACCGCGGCCGGCGTCCAGGTCGTGCTGCGCCGCATGCTCAAGGGGCGCGCGTCGCTGACCCACTGAGGACTGCGACCTCGGACCTCGGCAGTGTGCGAGCGCAGAAGACGCGGGACAGGAGAACGCGGATTGCGGGGATGGCCTGGGGCGTGGCGAGGACTGGAAGTGGGGGCGTGGCAGCCTCGCTTGGCCAGGCCCCCCGACGTGTTTGTGCGGTGGACGCTTCCGCACCCACGCAGCCGTCCACGGAAGGGAACCGCGCGCTCCGCGTTCCCCACGCAGCGTGACCGCCGGCCACCCTCGGCCTCCACCTCCCCGAGTTGCTTGGAAGCTGATCACAGGCATCGGGTTATTTTCTGTGAATATTTCAGACTGCATCTCCAAGATAAGGGCTCCTGAAAGCATGATCACGAATTTATGTCTCCCCCAAATGAGCAGTGGTGTCTAAATGTCATTAAATGTCTACTATGTGCCCAAATCTCTACCTTATAAAAAATACATATTACAACTTACAGTTCCGGAAAGCCCTTTGGGAGGTGAAGGGTCTCAGGCCCTCTGCTGCCCTCGGGTGGGTGGTGCGACCTCGGGCAAGGCCTGGTCCCCGGGTTGTCAGGGGCTCCTCTTTCCTTGGCGCACAGCTGCCGGTAGCAGTTCGCTGAGCACTGGATATGTGCGAGGCGGACGTCCTTCTTCCGAAGAGGCATCTGCCCAGCAGGACAAGTGGTCTCAGACCCAGGCAGTTCAGGAGTGGGATTGGGGGCTGGAGGAGCCCAGAGTAGGCTTTGGGAAAAGTTCACTCAACAAAGGCTTCCTGGAAAAACTGGCAGGGTCTTGCAAGAGGGATTGGGTAGAGATCACAACGCAGGTTTATGAGGGAACCCGGAGGGACCCAGAATTTGGGTCCCAGAAAGTGGGGCTGGATCTGTGGGGGGACTGGGGAGTCACGGGAGGTGTCTGAGCAAGACAGAGATGTCAGTACAAAGATAACTCAAGGCCATGCGTGGTGGCCCACAATTGCACTCGGGAGGCTGAGGCAGGAGTATCGCTGTGATTTTAGTCCAGCCTCTGCCACATAGTTCAAAGCCAGTCTGAATTGCAAGTGAAAAAAAATTCAAAAAACCATTCTGATTCAAAAAACCATTTGAGGAGCTAATGTGGAGCTGTCTACCCAAACCCAAGGTTTTTTGTTTGTTTGTTTGTCGTTTTGAGACAGGGTCTTGCTATGCAATTCAGCCTGGCCTTGAGCTCGCTTTGTAGCCCAGGCTGGCCTTTTTTTTTTTTTTTTCCAGGTTGGTCTTGAACTCTAAACAATCCTCTTGCCTCAGCCTCCAGAGTGCTGGGATTACAGGCGTGTGCCACCACTCCTGACTCAAACCCGAGGGGTTTTTTTGGTTGGTTTTCCTGATTTTTCTTTTTTTTGGTATCAGGAATTGAACTCAGGACTTGGCATTTGCCAGCAAGGCGCTTGTACGACTGAGCTATATCCCCAGCCCTGTTGGTTTTCTTTTTTGTTTGTTTGTTTTTGTTTTTTTGAGACAGTCTCGATATGCAGTTCAGGCTGGCCTTGAGCTCACTTTGTAGCCCAGGTTGGCCTCAAACTCACAACAATTCTGTCTCAGCCTCCTGAGTGCTGGAATTACAGGCGTACGCCACCACGCCCGGCCCTGTTGGTTTTCTTGAGACAGGGTCTCTATTGTGTTCAGGCTGGCCTTGAACTCGCTGTGTAGCCCAGGTCAACGTCCAACTCAAGGCGATCCTTCTGCCTTAGCCTGCGCAGTGCCGGGATTACCCTCACTCTACACCTCGCCTCAAATTATGAACCACAACTCCCATAAGGCTTTGCGGCGCGGCCTCCGCCCACTTCCTTTCTTCTGCCGATTCCAGGTTCTGGGCGGGGTTTTGCTTTCTCGACCGCACTTGATCTTGAAGAGAGGAGGTGTGGCGGCCAATGAGTGCGTGTGTTAATGGTCTGGCCAATGGGAACACGTAGAGGACTTTCAGTGGGGGCGGGACTAGGGTGAGGGCCAATGGTAGGGCGTGGCGGCGCCATCAGTGTGCGCTGTGCCGCGGCTGGAAGTTGCTGTGCGGCGGCGGCTGAGAAGGCGGCTGTGGTGGCGGCGGCTCGGGCGGCGACGGAGGGAACAGAGGATGGTAAGGGCGGCCGCGAGCCCGCGCCCCCTTCCGCTGGTCCACGCAGTACCGCGAGGCCGCCCCGTGTAGTCCGCGCGGCCCCTCTCTGCCCAGCTTGGCCCCCTGGGGGCGGCCGCCTGACCCTTCACTGACCCATGACCTCCGACCCTCGCTGCAGCTCACTGCGCGGCCCGCCGGCTCGTTCCCCGGCCGCTCACCCGCGGTTGGCTCCCAGGCCCTGACAACGCGTCCATTTCCGGGTCGCAGGTCCCCCCGGAAGTGGCCCGCGTGGGGTGGGGTCCGCGGAGACCCCGCTGTGCCCCTGCCCGGCGCGGCGGGCCCGGGC